GGCCGGTTCCCTCGCACCCACCCGTGACAGACCGGCCTCCTTTCAATTCCCGGGGCACAAGGAGCAGCGAGCAGGGCGGCTCCGTGCAGCCCCACCTCATAGCCTCCTTCTCTTGTGCCCTGCGGCTCCTCTTAAGTTTTCATCCGCCCGTGTGCGCTCTTTTCCCCCCAGGCAATCTCACTGGGCTGGAGGCGGCCCGCGGGTCTGGGGGTCTCCTGAGCCTCCCGGTGTGACCCCTTCGCCTAGGCTTCTCTCCTTGTCGTGTGCTCAGTGCGGGCCTCTTTCTGTCTTCTCCATCCTCTGGGAGACGGCGGTTGTCTCCCCTAAATGACCTGACCCCTCACAGGGCCATCATCACTGGGTATTATCTGTCCTCATCCTCCCTTTTTGCCTTCCTTAAAGACCGTGATTGTGTCTGTTCCTTTTTGGTAGTGTCTCATCTCTGGAAAAAGATTATTTGGAGAGAAAAAGTTTGGCTGGTGGTGTAAGGGAGTAGGAGGGTTTTCCTTTGAAGTAAGAGCCAAAATAGAATAGGTTATGACTGGACTTTGCATTTGTGGGCTTGCATGTCTGTGGTCCAGTTGGTATATGGAGTCACAACTCTGAAGAGAAGTCCACAAGTGCAGAACACCTAAAAAGCGTCTCTGGAAAAACTGGAAGGCTAATGGATGTTTATGTATGTGTTTTGTGACTTTACAGCTTTTCATTTAAAAAAAATATTTCAGGGAAAGATGAACTTTCCTTTACCATTTCTTGTATTGTAGCAGTTAGTGCTCAAATACTTTCAGACTATGCACACTAAAAAGTCTGATGCTTTTCCTTGAATTGTTTTAATGCTGATCACATATGTGGAGTTTGGAATTGTAGTGGCTTAATTTCCTTTATCTGTTGAACTAAGGGAGCTTTAAAGTTGCTAGTGCCAAGGGCCAGCAGTGTGTGTACCCTGTCTCCTGAAGATAGCTAATGAAGGCAACTGTTACAGTGATGGTTCTTCTCATACAAATACTGTTTAACCAAGGTTGGACTGATACTTTCTAATCTTATATAGGATTTTCAACAGGGTGATCATTTGCTTTTAGAACTGATCTTATGCATGGCTTGAATTGGGGATAACTCAAGACTAGAAAAGGTGTGCAGGATATTACACCTGAGTTGTGATTAGTAGTGCTTACAGGATTCTAAGAAAATAAATGCTGTATTCTTCCAGAAGGACGTAGATCACTGGTAAAAGCTGCTTATCTGCATATCAAGGAAATTATTGAAACTGATAAAGTAGTTTGATTTACATGTATGGTTCAGTTGTCAGTCTTCAGCCAGGTAAGGAGTTTTGTTTACGATGACTACTGTATAATCAGATAGGATTCTTGATCGTAACTCAGTACCTTCGCTTCCACTATCTGTTATGATTAGAAATCGCTCCTTCAGTAAAGGGATGAACTAAAATAGAAAATATTACTGGTGGAAAGCACTTGCGATGCCTTTCGTTAATGGAAATTAATTTATACACGCGACTCTGTAGCAAACTGGTAACTTTAAATAGTCTGGATTTATTACGTTCTTCTGACATCTGAGACAATTGAAAAGATGTAGCATTGCTGTTGTTGTCTAAATCTAGACAACATAATAATGACTACAATTTTGGTTATACCTGAAAAACAAGCTAAATAAAGTCTGGTTCCAGATACAACTTAATTTTTAATTTGTCTTCATGCTTTTGTATTCTGGGTTTGAAATTGTCAGTTAAAGCTTGATATTTAGTTCTTTCTGGTTTTGTTTTTAGGAAACAGAGCTGAAAATCTGCTGTCACATTTAGCTTTTTCTAAATTTTCATGTTGTAAGTTTCTGATTTCTCATATGTTGGTTTATTATTTTGCAATGCCCTAACTGGCTGTCTGTCACCAATATCTCTTCCAACTGATAAAATAAATTCTTCTGATACTTTTGTATGGGAAAGCTTAAAAAACTTTCATTGCCTTTTGCCATTCTGGATTAAAAGCTACATGAAAGCATTTTAGTCACCAGAAGATAAGAAGTCCTCTAATAAATTGTGCATTTTTCTTACGATCTGTGGATTTTTCTTTTAGCACCCTTCACAGCATAGATATAGGACATTAATAAAGGTTAGTAGAGAGAAGTTTCTTTTTTTTTCTTGTGGAGGCAACTTTGACAAAATTATCTGAAAGGTCCATGGAAAATGGATCGAAAAAAAGCATTATGTATACCTTAAGATCTTGTTATTGCTGGTCTGAAAACGCGCTGAAACTTTATCCAGAAAATAGTCAAAGATTTGCTTCTAACATATCTTATGGTGTGGATGTTCTGGGTACTATATTTATGTATTAACTGGAACAAGTGTGTTTAGATAAATTATCAGATAATATGTAATAACTAACTCTTTCCGCAAAAGAATGCATGGCATACACCTTGATAATCTTTTTCCACTCTTTTTGTCCCCTAGAAATGGGTCTGCTTTCAGAAGATGCAATGCACTAGATGTGGTGCTTGGAACAGGATTAGTCATGGCATCAGAACTATGCAAAACAATCTCTGAGGCAAAGCTGGAAAGGCACAAGAACTTGTTCTTAAATTATCGAAATCTCCATCACTTTCCTTTGGAGTTACTGAAAGATGAGGGGCTTCAGTACTTGGAGAGACTTTATATGAAAAGAAATTCCCTGACCACATTGGTACGACAACTTCTTTATTGTAATGTTTACTATCTGTATGTGTAGGAATTCTGATTTTTGGAACAGAAAAAACAAGATAATTTTAAAAAAATAATAATCTTATAGCAAATCTGATCCTGAATGCTGTCATCTATTGTGAAATATGAGTATTTGGTTGTATTATATTTGAACTTGCATAGGTAATGTAGAGTATAATAAATGGAAGTTTATGAAGTTTTAAGGTTACCCTTTTGAAGCTCTGTGAAGATCTGCTGGGGGTTTTCTTGTGAGGTTTGTTGTTTGGGTTTTTTTAACTGCTATAAATTTTGCTCACGTCAGTGGTCAGGCCTTTCTACTGTTAGGTGATACTATGCAAGTCTAGGCTACATTCCTTCATTAGGCTAAACAACTTTTACCTTGGTGTGTGCCTTATTTTAAAGGCATCGTCAATCCCAGGGTCTAATTCAAAGCTTGCTGTTAAGGTGTCAGCGAAAACTTGTGTCTATGGGCTGCTGTTGATAGGAGAACAAACAGTTAATTTCAGGGTTGTGGGATTTTCTGTTGTGGAGTTTTTTGTTTTGTTGTTTTTCCCTGAACCCAACAAATTCTCACCCTGAATGAATGTTGTGACCTCAGAATTCAGTGTGGGGTAGTTAAATAACTGTGTGAGATATTCTGAGCTGGTAAGACTCTCTATAGAGAGTGTCAAAACTTGCCACTGTCAATAGGCTCAAGTCTCCAAGTAATTCAGTTTTCTTTTTTTTTTTTTTTTTTTTTTCCTTGGGGTCTTCCATGGTATGATAGGTAAAATAATAGCCAGGGCAGAGGAGCTAGAGGGCCAGAGTACTTAAAATTCACCCAAAGTATATGTTTTTCAGTGCTTCCTAGAAAAAGTCCAGTACTCCGGTTCAAGGAATAGTGTTCAAAGCTTTGACAATGATACATTAGAAATCCTCTGTAAAGGTTTCACTTCATGGGCCAAAAGCTGAAAGGATTCTGAAGATTTTATGCCTTTTCTTCATCTTGAATGAGTCACTTAAGTTTGCATGTACTGTAAAGAACTATTTTGGCACTTTTTGGTTTTGGGCATGTCCTTTGCTTAGTAATTTAATGGGAGGGTAGGATTCATGGTTACAAATTAAAGCTGCTTTAAAAATTAACCGAAGACTGTAAACAGTTCTGCTTTGACACTTCGTGAAATTCAGTGATTATTTAGTGGTGTAAGGTTCATGAAGTTTGCACTGCTCAAAAGATGAAATAATAGTAAGGAGAGTTTTGCATGTCACTTTTCTGTGTGTATGTGTTAAAGCCTGCTTCTGTTTTTCTTAAAGCAATTATAAAATAGAAACCAAAACAAAGTCTCGCAAGTAACAGTTCAGTTCTGTTTTCCTCTCAATATCTGTTAATGGTACCAGCCAATAGATGTGTAAGATAGCATAAGAGTAATTACCCATGGTTACTGTCAACAGAAGATGTATCAAATGAGGGAGGCAGCTCTTGCCCAATGCTGTTCGGTATTGTAATTGAGGCCTGGGATAAAGGAGCTGAAACAATACTTAAAATGTAAATCATACCTAGGCAAAATGACTTGCAAACAGCGTGAAGTAGAGCATTAGGATTCAAAATGGTCAGGATAACTTGCTTATAATATGACTTGGTGGAATCTCATTCAAGTGCATAGCACTATAGCTAGAAACTAGGCAAACAAAATTGGGTCTCATTCACGGAGCATCTGTTCAGCAGAATAGATGTTGGAAGTTGTAGTGGACCAAAATAGATCAAGTCAGCAGCATGTTACAAAAAAAGGCAGATGTCTTTTTGGAACATAGAAAGTTTCACAATCTCCATTAAAAGCAGAAGGAAATAATTGTTGGATACTGTTAAAGCATAAGCTGGAGCAAAGATTGAGTCTGGAGTTTCATACTTATGAACAACCTAGGTAAATTCGAAAGAACTTAGAAAGCAGCAACAAGGGATTTTTAGAGAACATGCCCTATGAGAGAAGGTTGAGAGACTTAGGTTAATTCTTCTGGCACAAAAAGAAGACAGAGAGGAAAAAAAGGAAGAGGAGGAATGGGGGAGAGCAGAAATCATCAGTATTTTTACAAAGCAGTATTTTCATAATGAATTTTTATGTCCACTGCTGGTAGGACACATGATACTCTAAATTTCAGTAAAGAAGTACAAAGTTAGTTACATTGCGGGGGGGGGCCCAGGAGGGAAATCTCATCTGAGAATAGTTGAAAACAAATAGGTTATTGAAGGAAGACGTCTCTTTCAGCCTTGTGCTCTTTTGATTTTATGCAGGATGATGAGCATTAGCTCATCAATAAATACTTTAAATTGCATATGGATTATTAGCAATCATCAAAACTAAATCTGCACCATATTTCTTGAAAGTAAGGTGGTACTTTTGTCCCACCAGTTCATTTCTTCAGGGTTCTGAAAAACATTGACTAAATCAGTCTTTGTTCTTCTTTGCTCTTCTAAAATGACTCTAGTCCTGGACAGATGGCTCCTGTGAAAACATTTGGAATAGTTACGCTGACAGAATTTACATATACCTTGCCTAAGAATAATTTCATTTTTTGTCTTCATTGGCAAGATGGAAATGGTAGAGGTCTATGACATAATGAATGGATCAAGAAGCTATATAGCACATCTGTATCCCAGCATCATGTCTTCAACTTCTCCTCAATGTTTGACTAGTAACTTTAGCCTCCCAGTAATCCTATTTCCCCATTTATGAAAAGGAAATACGAGTTTGCCTTGATGCCACTGTCAGAAGCAGATCTAGCCATATCAAAGAACAATTGTTCTTAATTTACTAACTCAGAATATGCAATGCTGTCCTGTTCAGACAGATCAGCAGGTTCACTTTTTGACAAATGTCCAGTGGGTGTGAGGGCAAGGCAAGCTTCACTAAACTGGTGGCAGAAATGATGATTCATTTATCATCATTGTTTGCTGTCATGTTACCAGTAGAGACCAGAGTTAGTTTTACGTCTCAATTGATGGATCATGAATAGTTTTTTTTTTTAATCTTAATTTCATTGTAGGATGTTGTATTGAGCAACTTTGACTCAGACCCATTGTTATTGTGGTACTTGAAGATAAGCAGAATTTCTATTATAGACTTGCTAAATGTTAAATTGTCTCTCTCCTGAGTTTAGCTCTCTTAAAACCTGCAGCAGTTAAAGTGAGAATAAGAGTATAACCTTCGTGTATAATGTGAAAATAATTTGTGATTCAGGTTAGTTTCCTTGTTCTAATAAAGGATTTAGGATGACGGTGAATTTTTTTCTTTTCACATTCCTCTTCATTTTTTTAAATTAAAGCTTGAATTTTTTGTGCTCGAGCATGTTGCAGCCTTTGCATATTTTCCCAGCTTAAGCTTTTCTCTTTGACAAGTAAAATGCTGTGCCGAGGAGATAAATGTACTGTAGCAAACCTTCCAGTAGGTGGCAACAACTGATTAGTTATAGCCTGTTTCCTGGGTCTTGACGTCAACCGATTCGTTTATTGAGCCATCATTTGCTGCTCCATACTTAAAAACAAACTATTTTTTTGTACTCAGATCTATGATGTAGCATGTTTGCCACTGAAGAATATTTTTCAGGTTAGCATATTTCTTCATAATAAATTTATAAACACAAAGTTAAGTATTTGAGATAATAATATACCTTAAATTGACATGACAGTGAAAATTGCTAGGTTTTTTTAACAGGAAATTGACCATGTGATCGAGCTGCTTTTAAAATTCATTTGTTTCTGCATATATGTGTATTGTAAAACTTTTTTCAATAAAACATATCTATGTTTAAAGTAGATTTCTTAAGCAATGAAACTGTCTTAACCTTGAATAACTTGAGTACGGTTACCAACATGACATCTGAAACTTGTGAAGCCAATTTTGGGGTATATGTTCGTGGTCATAAATATAATCAAGAAACAGAATTGCAGCTAGAGATCAGTTAGCAGTTAGAAAATTATATGCATGTTAATATGTAAATATGGAAATCTAGTTTGATGGATTCAGCACTTCTGGCTCAGTGGTAATTGATTAAGCTACACAAAGTTTGTAGGTCATCTCCCAATTTAGCAGCATTACAAAATAAAATACATTATGGTTAGACATCTTGTATAGACATCTTGTATAGTTCTTGTTCTGCTTTAAGTCTGTAAAGGCTGCAGCTTCTTAGCAGTCTCTTGGCTTCAACTAACGCAATTATTTTAATATATTTTCAAAACTAAGAATCATAGAATCATTAAGGTTGGAAAAGACCTCTAAGATCATCAGGTCCAACCGTTAACCCAACACCACCATGCCCACTAAACCATGTCCCTAAGCGCCTCATCTACACGTCTTTTAAATACTTCCAGGGATGGGGACTCAACCACTTCCCTGGGCAGCCTGTTCCAATGTTTGACCACTCTTTCAGTAAAGAAGTTTTTCCTAATGTCTAGGTTTTGGTAATCCATCTTTTCAGCCTCAGAAGTCTGACTACCATTTGGTTGAGGACATGTTAATGTCACTTCTAGGCTGTAGTTCTGTTTCAGTAGTGAATTGATCACCCTTGATATATCCCAGATTGCACTGATGGAGAATGTGCGGGGATGTGGAAATAGGGTATTGTATACAAGCTCCTTGTTGCCATTTTTTCTGTGACTAGCTGCTGACATGTTTTAGTATGGTTATTAAAATGAGTTGGATACACAATATGTGTGTGTCTGTTTTTTGTTTTGAAACCTAAAAAGTCTCTAACTCTCTTTCAGCCAGAAAACCTTGCACAGAAGCTTCCAAACCTCGTGGAATTGTGAGTTTGTGTAGGAGTTCTAATATATTTTTATTATACTGATCCATCTTATCTTAAGATAATTCTAGAATGTATTGCTTGCACATAACCTACCTCTTAAGTGTGAAGAGTTTTCCTGGGGGCAAGAAAGGGTTATTTTTTGTTGTCTTTTTTTTTTTTTTTTTAAAGGAGGTATATCCGGATGTATTTAGTCCCATGTTAAATTTTTTTTATCATTTCTTGTTTATTGTATAACAACAAACGTCTACACTGCTAAGGGAAGAATACTTACCCCTCAGCTCCTGTGTGGGCTGTCACCCTGATAAAGCACTGGAATTTCCAAATGCAGTGGTCAGATGGTTATGACAGAGCCGGAGTAACAGGTTACTGCCTCCAGCCCATCCCTAGTTGCTCATTTCCACCCCAGCTACCAGGGGTATTATGATCTCGGTCTTGCTGATTGCAGTACTAAGTTTTTTTGGAACCAAGTCACAGATTGTCAAATAGGAGCAGAAAGGAGCAAGTAGGGGTAGTAACTGTTTAATGATGATTGCTGTAGGCAGAGTAGTTTATCCAATCTTGTCCAAAGAATGGATGTGACATGAGCTGTATTATTTTGGCAATTAATTTTAAGCTGTAAGCCCCTAAATCAATGTCTTCTTCCCTCCCCTTTTCTTCTTGTAAGATTATGAGTTCCTTGTATGGTAGGATTGGCGGCAGGGTGAGGTGGGGGGGTAAAAGGGATATCCTCTTTTCCCCTTATAACTCATTTGGCTCACATTCAGTTGACTAACTGATGGACCATTGATTCTGTTTATTTAATAGAAAGCTCCAAACAGGAGGAGGTATGTATCTGAGTAGTCTAATGCACTCAGCTGTCTGATCTTGTCATCTTAATTTGGCCCTTGAAACCACACCTTTCTGGTACACGCGACCACAGTATAATTGAACTGTTTGTAGGTCACTGCAGTCTTCGACTTACTTAGGAGACAGTCTTGTCTCATCATGCCTGAGTTTTGAGAGTATGTTTATGCTCTGAAGCAGTAAAATAAATATTTTTGTATTTGATATACTAAGTATTAAATGATTTGCCATGGGGCATCAGTAAATCCCTGTGTTATCTGATGGTGCCTTTAGGAAAACCTGTATAAATTACAGCTTAAAATAACCTCTTACAAACATTGAATTGTAGGAGTCAAACCGAATTATTTGGGGTTCAGCAAGCTTAGTTGTACCATCATTATCCCACACATTCTGGTGGTCTAGAGAGAGATGCAGTGGGCCTGTGGTTTGTGTAGCTCTAATGGTACAAGTCAATTTTTGATCAGACAGTAAGAGATGTTTTGTTGACAGAAGAGACCACAAAATAAAGATTTATTTAAAGAATAATTTGTTACAGCAGCTTTAAATTTTGAAAGACAAACTTAACTGATTTTCATTTTCCAGAAAGTTACATCCTTAGCAATTTCACTATGTATTTTTAAAAACTTCACTGTTGTCTGCGTTTCTTTGCATATCGTGTCCCTCATGCTGGGATATAGTTGTAGATCCTTATAATATACATTTTTTTAGCTGGAGTGAAATAGTTCACAAGTATTTTCAGGAGCTGCAGCTGAAATGAGTAGGAGAATTCTCATCCTGAGGTATATATAAGGATTTCTACAAACGTATCTGCTAGCCTTATGTTTGTTACATTTTTAGTAAACTTTAAATGTCTGCAATTTTTAAAGAAAAAGAGAAGGCTCAGATGCTCCATGCAGTTGAAATGTTCATATGTCTTTTTCCTTGTTCTGCCTCTATCTCCCCAAAAAGACAGGCTTCTACTTTTGGAAATGCTGTTTGAATAGAATGGAAAAAAATATGCTGAGCAAATAATTTCCATGTGGGCCTAAGCGGTTGGACACTGAGTACTCAGTACACTTTACAATTAGATACCAGTATTTGAAAATTTTGTTAATCTAAGAATGGGTTTTATGTTCCTAGTAGTACTGGATGTGCTCCTGCAGAGGGTGCTGAATATTCTTAGTGAGAGATCTGGCCACCCCCACTAACTACCTAAATAACCATGTGTAAGATTGGGTTTTTCTTTTGAAAAATGTACTCTAGGTTTGAAAAACCTACTTGCAGTGAGTAGATCATGTGCTTGTTTCTTCAGTCAGTAAAGGTGTAAGAGTTTATGTGCAGGGGAAAATGTTTGTAATTGTATAACTTGCATGGGTTTGGGCTTTTTTCTTACCCAGCATTTAGTGTGGAATAACCTGGTGATCAAATACGGTTCATTTTGGTTATTCTATCTGCTTTATTCTTTTTCCTTTTTGTTTTCCTCTTATGACTCTCAAAACTAAAGTCCATTATTATTATAATTGTAAATGTTTTGTTTTAAATAATTGTATGTCATTCTCTTTTATTTTTATGTTAATCATTTAATAGTCTAAGTGAAACTTAAGTACCTATCCATTGCCAGTTTATACAGTTTCCACAGCTTTTGTGGTCATAGAGAGGAATGGCTTTGAGGGTTCTCTTTCAGTCTGAAATTGGATATTTTGCAAACTGATTATGTAGCAGAAGTCCTTGAGGGTAACAGGTGGTGTCCTCTGCTTTTTCTCCTCCCCCCAGGTACCTTCATTCAAATAACATAGTTGTTGTACCTGAAGGTAAGTAATCTACCAGCTCACAATAAGTGGCAGGAATCATGAAATATTCATTTTTCTTCTTTGAAGAGGCCTATTTTTCCTTTATTTTCCCATAAAACATTAAAGATTTTCATACAAAATATACCAGTGTAGCTCTTAGTTAATAATATCCTTGTTTATGCTATGTTAAATTCTTTTAGTGAATTCTCAAATGCACCTAAATGCTGTTTGCTTCAGTTCTAATTGCAGAAAGTGAAAAGGCTAAGTGGCACTCATCTACAGAAACAAAAATCCAGAGTGTCTTCTGCTTTCAACCAGTTACCACATAGAATACTCTGCTGGTTTAGATCATGACAGATTTGAAACCTAGAGTATCAAGAACTTGTACTAGTTTCTCTTCCTTGCCTTAATTGTACAGTTATGTGCCCCACTTCAGGAGAGTACTTTAAACTCTTTCTGAATATATAAATTGGGTAGACTCAAAGCAAAGGCATGGAAAAAGTGGTTTCGGAGCAGAATCGTCTGAGGAGACTCTAGAAATGGGAGTATTCTGTACATAACACGTTTTTTTCCTCCCTGTCTCACTGCCAGCAGTACTGTTTGTTAGATAAGCATTTCCACAAGCTATGTCATTCAGTTGTGAGACTGGCTTTAATGCGTCAAAATCTGCTCAGACATAGGTGTTAGGTACTGTGGTTTTTTATCCTCTCATAGTCCTATTAAGATTTTAACGTTACTGTTGGGTCACATTCATGTTTTAATCTGTTCTCTCACAAGCCATTGGCTCCCTCGTTAAACTGCAGTTTCTGGACCTAAGTGATAATGCCCTCGAAATTGTGTGTCCAGAGATTGGCCGCCTGAGATCTTTACGTCATCTTCGCTTGGCTAACAACCAGCTGAAATATTTACCTGCAGGTAAGTACAAATGCGTGAGGGATTACAGCAATGACAAATTCCATTTGAACTTAATTTGCATAGTGATCTGCGCTAGGTTTATTCGTATCTTACAGTTGAAGCATGGTACAACTTGCATTTAAAGACTAGGCAGGGATTGCCATTGTATGTATTGTACTAAATATACTCTGTAGTTAGAAAAAAGCCACGCTGTATGTACTCGAGGTAAAGAAAAGTCCTGAAAAATGCTTCTGAAGTGGGAAAAAATGTGTCTATTTAACAGTCTTTGCCATTGTATCAAGAAAATATCGAACTTCCTTGAGAAGATACAAAATGCCAATGACAACTGTCATTATGATAAAATGATGTTTCTTCCAATTTTCCAGAATATAAAGGATTCCATTCCTTCCTTTCTTTCTTTTCACCCAACAGCCCCATTCTTGTATTTTCTAAAAAGACATGTCTAGTAGGTTTGCCTATGGCAGTTCTACCTCACTATGACAGTAAATAACAAATGTTTATCTTGCTAGTTTATAATAAAAAAGCAAAATTTATTCAAAGTAAATGTGACACAAAGTCAGAAAAAGTTGGCCATAGGCAAATTTTGAATGATGTCTTTTTTTTGCCTTCTAAATACTTTGATAAGCAGACATAAGTGATTATTCTTCTTCCATCGGCCTTCTATCTTTCCAGATAAGATGATGGTGATTTTTAAATAGTTTTTTTTATTTTCTTTTTTTAATATTTCTCTGGCTTATTTGCATTTTCTGATCTGCAGACGTGATAAAAATCTAAGGCCAGAATTTAAAAAAAATGGTCTAACTTAATCTAACAGAATTAGCTTTTGGCTCTAATTTTAACTAACTTCTCAATGTGACCTTCATGTGTTTGTAAGTTCATGTTGCTTATTCTCAAGAAATATATTGCAATTGCTCCTTGAAGTTTCAGGTGCAGAAATCTAGCTGTCCTTGCCTTGTACTTTTCTAGGCATAATAAGCTTAATAAGAACAAGTCAAAGGATGGTTATGATTAGAAAGAAAAAAAATTTATATGACTATGTAAATGCTCTGGAACGAAATTAGATAAACCTGTTAAACATTATGACCCAAGGCCAATAAAATTTCCATCAATTTTCAGATGTCCTACATTCAAAAGAAAGGAGTGACTTGAGTGCTTTATGTTCCTCAAAGATAATTTACCTTATGGTGCTGTACCATGAAAGAAAGCCTTGTTCAAAGAAAAAGTGACACATTTTCTGCAAAACTTCACACATTAACTTAAAAAGGTTCCAAAAAAGACTTTCAAAAGGATAATTTACATTACTGAAGAGTTGATTTCGAGTCTACCACATTTGATTAGGAACTGGTATCAGCTGCATAGGCACGCTGCATTTAATTTCTCCTAAAGTTTACAAAACTTGGTACTGAGCATTGTCCCTAAGTGTGCTTAGTTTTGTGTGCGTGAAAATTTTGCATGCTTAGAAATAATACTACCGTTGTCTGCTTTTGAATCAGAGAATCCAGTGGTGTCCAGTCTTTCTGGTTTTGCTGGTAGTGTACCATCAGTTTATACATATGCCATTACTGCTATCATTACTAATCCTGTCTGTTCAGATGCTGTCACTACCAACATGACTGGATGTCATACAGCTTGAGTGTTATCAGTCCAAGCAAGATTAGTCTTTCATTTACACTGAAGAGTTTGCCCATTGGAGAGTTAATCTACTGCATTGAGTGTTTCCTAAACATAACACTTCCTGAAGAGGGCTTCCAAGCATATTTTCATAGTTTTTCTTTGTAAAGTTGTGAAGATTTCGAAGATGACTTTATAACAAAATCTTTGAGTTTGAAAATAACATTTATGTTCAACAATTGAAAAAATAGAGCAAAATAGTAAGTTTTTATGAATTGTTTTATCCGTAATTATATTAGTAGCATGAATCTTCATAATAGTGTTAAATAGCATTCTGTCACAGAAGCTAGCAAAGTTAATAAAATGAAATAGGATGAGATGCGATTTCACTGCAGTACATCATTTTACTGTGTGTTAACTACTTTCTTTACGGAAGATACTGCATTGCAATGCATTGTTAAAAATCTTAATTGCTCTTAATTTATAATAAGTAACCATTCAAGATACAATTTAGCTTCTACTAGTGCAGCTTGTGCAGAATTTAAGGAGCTGCATTAAAAAATAGCTTTCAGGTATAGGTGTTGGTCATTTATGGAAGTCACTTTTCAAAACGCATTACCATCATTTTTTTCCAGATTTAGTCCGGCACATACCACACAAATGGCAGTGAACTGTTTATCACACAGTTAAGAAAGGCTGATCAGAATTCACCTTGTGTAACCAGATAGGCCAACTTGCAGCATAAAGATGTCATCACATAAAAAGCTTACTTTAGAGTTGTTGCCCTGTCACTCCTCTTGTCTCTCCCTTTCCAGTGTCTGGTGTTATAAGTACCCTCAGTTTTTGCTGAAACTACATGGATATCTAAGAGGATACTCTTAGTAATATCCTTGATGAATTGCTAAAAAATCTCTTCATTGCAGCTGCAGAACAGTTGGATGATAAATGTTTGCCATTAAGTGTCTGAACACCCACACTTTTTTATTGCTATTGCATTTTGTATTTTAAGAATGATTCTCTGTTGTGTCTTCCTTAATTGTGATTAAGAACTGAAAGAAACAATGCAATTAATTGCATATGTTGATTCATTATCCATTTTTAATGTTTTTGTTCCACAATTGTGCTCTTAACGTTCATTTTTAGTATTTTATATTTGCCTTATAGAAATCTAGCATAACTCTAATTTTAAAACAATTGAAGTAGTACGCATAATGAAGCCCTATGAAGATTTATGTCTTCAGTCTGATTGTAGACTTTCTTCAGACTCTAATAAAGGTTGAGCCTGTGCTGTGGCTTATCTTCAATGCGATGGGCAAGATTTTAGTCTCTAAGTACCTGTTTTCATAAAGCTTGTGAGAATTTAATAATGAAGATCTCTCTTCTTTTCTCAGGTTTGGTCATGATTGTCCAACTAGTTTTAAAAAGTTACTTTAAGGGAGGAGGTGGGGGAGAATGATGAAAACACATGCAGACAGCATGAAGACATAAGCCTTAGTTTCCTGAAGAGATGAGGCAATACAGGACTGATGAGGGGGAAAAAGGGCATTAAGTGAAGCATGGAAATTGTGTTCCTTGGAGATTAGAAAGCACTTTCTATGCTGTGGCACTCTTGTAGTGTAAATGATAATCCTACCTTTGTGCTTACAAACACTACCAAATCAGTGTCACCCATGGGTAAGATCATGTACTTTGGCCTCAAGGCACTTTATTTAATGGTGCGCTACCACTGAAACAATGGGACTTCCATCACGCATCATTAAATTGTTGTGAGAGTTGTTGAAAGATGACTAAGCTAAACTTGATGAGAAGCAAAGGGAAAAATTTATCCAGAATAAGCATGTTGAAATTGAAATATTATATAAAATGGCTGGAAGAAAATGCTTTGTGAAAGTCTCTTGAAGTCATGTTTTGAATATACTTTGGATAAGTTTAATAAGTGGACCAGCTTCTGCTTAATGCAGAGTCATCAGTATCTAGATTCTGTGGTAATCAGAATCACTAACTGAGAGACTCTGTCTTTGAGAAGAGAGCTGATTAAAAGAGTTGCAGATAAGTAAGAAGAGGAGATTTAATATTATAAAGTTCTCGAGTGCTTTTTTCATTGAAATGCACAGCATTTTTTTTGTTCTGCGAACTGTAAATCTTGTAGCTTCTGTCTCTAACAATTTCTTGGTTCTTTTATTTGGCTCTGCTACATGTAATTCTTGAACATGAAGTAAAGTTTTGTGAAGTTTTCTACTATTTCACTGTAGCACTTAAATAATCTAAATTCTTGAGGGCCATTTGGAAATATGTAACGCCAGAAAATACAGAACTTGAAAAAATCTTAGAGTTGCAGCATAAACAAAAGATGGTTATTTCATATTATTACGTTAGTTTATGTATAAGCTTGACTTAGAGTTGACATTATGTTTTCATAGTAGCTTAACTTTTTTTTTTAGAGATTTCTCTTTATTCACAGAATTGATGTCTCATTTTAATTTAGAATTGTAGAGTTAGTCCTATATGAATGTGCTGTCAGAAGTAAATTTTCTGAATCTTCGCACTTACGAATGACTAATTAGAAAGTTCCTGTTCGTTTCTGATGTTTATAATGCATATATTTCAACTCCTTTCATTCTTGAGAAATTGTATTTATTTTCTTTGTGTAAGAATTATTGCATCATGTGGAAAAAAAAAAAAATCCAGTGAGTTGTACTGGAAAAATTATTCTTCAGGAGCCCCAAAGCTAAGGTTATCTCTCAGTTTTGCTGTGTTACCATTTAGATTTGATTTGACTTCAGCCTTGGAAACTTTCGATGTGAAGTGATGGCTCTTCAGGTTTACATTTTGTTTTTTTGGTTAGTGAATGCACGTTTGGACGACAGATGGCTTAAGAGTGTGGGTTATACTTGAAGTTGGACCTAAGTTTCGTATTTGACAAGGACTAGATTTTTTTATTGCACATTACTTGAGAAATACTTCTCCTTAGAAATGGCAAGTTGTAGCATCTTGTTCTAAGATTTAATTAAAAATGAAGTTATGTTTACTCAGCACATGTTGGAGTTAATTATAGATTTACTAAAATGAAAAGCTTAATGTTTTGCCAAGTCAAGAGCAAAAGCTAAGTAATTAAAGAACAGGGTATGGTTTATGATCCCAGCCCATCTTTTGGCAAAGTTCCCTTCAAGAAGGGAAAAAAATATGTATCAGCAGTTGTCTTTACATGGGCTAGACCAAGTTTCCCTTTGTGTTCGTTGTAAGGGAATTTTAAAAACCAGGAGCTGAGCGCATTGATCAGGCAAAAAAAAAAATGTGGGCAAATAATACCAAACAATGTAAACTGTACGATGCTGTTTCTTTAATCTGTAAAGTAAAAGTGCAGGTGACTGGGGAGCACCAGCAGTTGC